ATTAGAATAAAACGACCGGCTCTCATTGCTAAAGCCCACATCCAATCACGACTGGAAGTAGTATTGACCACCATTGAGTTAAGGGCATTTGAATAAAGCAAGACGTATTCCTCCCATGTGTTATAATCAGAGATTATGAATAACAGTAAATTGAAGACATGCGTGCTAGATAAGGGAACAAGTGTGCCACACTTCTGAGGGCAAGAGGGTCAGTCGGCACAGTACAACTACAAATAAGTCAATGGAGTGTAGTGATGACAAGAACAACAGAGACCATTGCTGCAACGCAAGACAGAGTGAAGTGGAGGTCCATGATCGCCCACGCCAGTCGGCAAGACACCGGATGACGATGAGTGTAGTGATAGATCTATGACTAGTAGTACGGTACAAGCCTACTGTGTATACATTGACAATAATGGTGCACTCCTACGCCGTGCATGGGTGTAGATACTGGCAGGAAAAGGAGTGTAATCTCATCCGTCAGGTATCTAGTAATATTATTACTAGTTTATTAAACAGATGCCGTATTGAATTGTGCACAGAGATCTTGATCAAGACTGTTGGTGAGGCTAGGCGAATGGTGGGTTCATATAAGCACACGAAATACACTGACCTATCATAAACTGCATGTATTACAGGCTCAAGACCACAATGCCGGATGTGAAAACACGATGGCCATATGTCAAGACGTGGGCCAAGCGTACTTGATATTGCAAGAAGAAAATATGAGAAAGGGAATCAAATGGAGACTGAGGCAGAACATCCGCCAACCACCCGCAGAATCAAAGCTACGTACTACAGACAACAACAGAACACCGACATAACAGCGGCAAAATTCATGTTGATATGTAGCCTTCACTACATCCATTTGCAAATAATCTGTTTATAGTCAGTACTGATCAATTCATTTTCCCACTATGCACTCACTATAAAGCTAATGGCTTTTATAGGAAAGAAGGAGCAAACCACACCAAAGCACACGCCAACCACCCACATATTTTAACAATTATGCATGTCATACACTATTGGACACTATCATATGCACATTTTTCTACTAATCAGATGGCGTCAATATCATAGAAATGGGCAAGGGACAAAAAACAAACAAAAAAATAGGAGTCAGCGAAACCCACTGGATACTGTCTGGTCAGAAGCAGCTCAGCTAGTGAGAACAATTATTACATTCTAGAAGGGAAAATAAGCACCATGTGGAAGAAGTTTGAATCATTTTGAGGAAGTATGTCCAGAAATCACTGAGACGAGGATATGAACCCCTCGGGGAGAGGACCATCATGGCTTCATTCACGACAAAGACTAAGAGCATCAACATCAACTCAAGCTTCTTCTCAAAAAGCATAAAACAAGAACAAAAACCAAAAGAACAATGTTCCAATTAAGACAGACACAAGACAGAGGAGTTTCAGCTACAGATGAGGAACACATTTCAACCTCTGGCTGATCTAGATGGGGAGGATATAAAGAGGCACTGGACCAAGGTCAAGGAAGTTTTTACTTAACATGTCAAGAAGTACTCGGTGAGAAAAAATTGGAGCATAATGAATGGATTAGCCAACACTCATTGGAATAGATTAGAATAAGAAGACAACTGAAGGCAGAGGCGAACGCACATGCGAATCCATAAACAAAGACTCTAGCTGGAAAATATGGGAAACATGACTAGTAAAGGCCAAAGAGGGGAAAACCATTTATTGTTAAGCCATTTCCTGATGGTCACGTCCAGTAGTAAAATAAATCACTAAAGAGATAAGAAGACAAGTTCATTAGTGAAAGCTGACAAAAGCAAAACTCTTGGGAGGATTCTTCTGTATGAACAGAAACAAAAGGGTCCGGTATCATCAAGATACAAAGAACAAAAAATACAGTCAAACCTGCCATGACGGCCACCTTTATAATACGGCCACCTGTACAAATGACCACTTTCCATTTCCCCCCTTGCACTTTTTCTAAATAAAGTAACTATGTAAAATGATCACAATCCTTCGCCTATTTTTACACAAGTTTGACTGTATGCATGTTCTGCATCGTATTTTGACCATTGAAATGTGGATATACCATCCCCAAAGATGCTATAGACTTAGACCTCATAATTTTATTGGATTTCTACAAAAAGAAACAAAAGCCCACAAACAGGAGGCAAAAAAATTCAAAATAAGGAGGAAACGGTCTTGAACAGTGCTTGTCAACCTTTTTATGGCCAGCGCCCACTTCAGTCATTTTTAAGAGGCTAAAATACTTGTATCACCCACCTATATGTCATTCCAAGTGGAGCACAAAATAACATCAGGACCTGTCATTATCCGGGTAATTCGAACCACCCACCAAAATTACCAAATCACCCACTGGTGTGAAATACTGCCCACAGTGGCAATTTTTTTTTTTATAGTAGAGGGTTTTACGTTAGACTGCTCACCTCTCTAGCTTCAACAGCACAAGGTCTGCTTCGACTATCAAGGCACCCCAAAATAGCAGGTCACAAGAGAGTGACAAACATATAAAAGAAGTAGAGGAAAATGACAATAGTAAGGATCAGGAAAGAAAAAGCAACAGTTCCCCGTTGTAGATCAGGCACAGTTATGAGCATGACATGTGTCAGCCCATTTACAATTCTACTATGCTTGAACGAGAAATGTCCCCCCCCTTTGGGAAGGGCCTAAAGACACTACAGTCAGTGGCACTGCCCCGGGGGGTCACAGTGGCAAGCTCTGGTCTTGTTTTAGTAAGCGTTTTACAACACTTGCGACACAGTTAGGTCATATAAGAGCAAAAGAGTAGAGGGTTGTGTTGTTTGTTTTATTTTTGTAAATCTTTTTACAGCGCTCGCAACTGCATAAGGTCATATGAGCGCGCGGGACACACCTAATATTTTCAGTTTGGTAGGAAATTTTGAATTTTGCTCAGGTGGCGGCCGAAGCCTGCTCTTATCGAGTTTAGACCACCAAGGGATCTTTAACGTGCGCAACTTGCACACAGGCCCTCCGAGATTTTTCGCCATTGTCCGAGAAGGCTAGATGTAGATTTTTCCTACCAGAAGATCAGGGGTGTGGCTGAAAGACTGCAGTAAGAAGAAGAGAAGGAGTAGCAGTAGAAAGGCTGCAGAAAGAATCAGGAGCCCAGAGGAACTAGAGGGTTACACAAGAGAGTAACAAAACAAATACAAAAAAGAAGGAGCACAACAGAGTAGCAAACACAAAAAAAGGAGAAGAAATAAGGACGATAAATGTAAAATGTTTGATAAAAAAGAAAAGGCCAAACCACACCAACGCACCCGCCAACAACCCACAAGCACTTGTTTAGCCTTGCCTAATCCACGAACTAAGTAGGACAAGAGGGCAGCACAGATAGCAGCTCACCTGCTCAGGTTCTATGTCTTCTAGAGCCACCATGACCAAGGTGTGATCTCCGTGGGGAAAGGAGACCTCTGCGTTTGGTGCACAGCTGTGATTGCCTGTGGAGGTCAAGGCTTTTGTGAGAAATAGAACTGGGATAATATGCCAAGATGCTGTTTATGTTTCTAGAGAGATACACACAGACACTATATAAACATGTCCAGAAAGAACATAAATGCTCCCTGCGACAAATAACAATCAGCCGTATTTTATCTTATATAAAATCAGTATCAATATCATAAAAACCCTAAGATATACAATGGCAATAGCATTGTTGATAAGTATCACAGACCACAACAAGGTGCCCTGTACATTATGTCTCATTCAAAATTACAAAAAAAATAAAATCGAAAGTGTGACAAGACATGCCTTGGGAAAGGAATTAGCTCTGAAATCTTAAACTATACAATAAATCAAGCACCTTCCGTGCCTACATCAAAACCTCTAACAATGTCAAATGCTGTAATCAAGGTACACAGTAACAATGCATATTAAAACATGAGAGTTCCCTGATGGCCAGAATAAAACATTAACAAATTATCTTAAAAAATTTCACCTATGTCAACAGCAGGGCTTGAAATAGACCACGGCACCGCAGCAATTTGCCTTGGTGCCTTTGCGATTTGCCGTAATGCCCTAAAAATCAAAGGGTCAACCGCGGCAATTTTTGCCGTGCCCTTCTATTTTTGTTTTTATAAAAGTGTGCCACCATGAAAATAAATCAATATTTACCCTGTGCTGTCACTTGTGGTAAAAAAAAAAAAAGAAAAGAATGTTGTACAAGCGTCTTGTCGGGTTCACCACCGTGGCAGGTCAGTGAACCTGCGCTTTGGTATCACAACTTAATCACAAGATACGGCATCGTGTGAGCACTGGTTGTTGGGGTCACCTTAGTTCATTCAAAGTCTGAACACCGCGAAGTATGGGAGTCCTAAATGGTGGGAATTACTTTTTTTTTTTTTTTTTAAGATACACTCATGGGAGGGCGGGGGGTATGGAGAAATCCTGTTAGACTTGTCTGAAATCTCATCAAAGCTTCAGTCAGACACTGCTCAGCTTGACAATTGTGTCCATTTTGTCATGGCTAGTGCAAACACACTCACAGCAATGATAACCAAACCTCAGCAGTGTCTGAAAAAAGCTCTGGATGAAAAAGAAGACTGCAGATGTGAGAGATGTGGCAAGAGATGTGTCTCACAAATAGACGTCCTGATAAAACAGCACTATTCTCTGAAATCATTTTCTCTGGGGATACTTTTTAAAATCACTTGGGTTTTTTTCCCCCATAAGGGACAAACAGTAAGCCAGTCTTTTTCTATATTGTCTGATCTAGTCCTAAGTCATAATATGACATGCTGATTGTTTAGGTCTTTTTTTTATATAACATACATGTATTTTAAAACTTGTATTTTCAAAACTTGTTTTCATTTATCATAGTCAGAACCTCACTCTGTTTAACTGCTTGACAGCAGTTTTTAGTTATTCATTCTTTTTTTTCATATAAGTTCATACCTTGTTTTCACTCCTCATTTTTTCTCTTTCATACAAGTTCAAAACTTGTTTTTATTTACCATGATTTGTTTTTATTGTATCACAACACTGCCTGTAAATCACTCTGTTTGAATCTCAAAAGATTAATGGCTTACCTAATTGGTCATGTAATTTACTGTTTTCTATCGTGCCCTATTGTCAACAGTCATATGCATTCATATTAAGGGGTTATGTACACGATACGAGTAATTTTCTCGGGGTTTGACTTTCTTTCTATTTTTAAAGGTGATATAGACTAATT